GGAAAGGAGTTTCTCGTTGTCAAACGAATCACTTTTAAAAGCATATAATTATTACCTTCAATCGTCAATTTCTTCATATTCTTTTCCCACTTATTTGTATTAACACTGCCAGGTTCTCCGGAGCAATTGATGCTCTCGTTTCCTTTCTTTTTTAACGTTAAATTAATCTTGTTTACCTTGAATTTCCTTGTAATTAGGCTCAAATTATATGTCTTAACTCAACATTGGTATCTATTGAGCTTTCAATTTTGTTCAGTTCATACTTTTGTTTTGTATTGTAAGAGAGTTTTATGACAGGGTATATATGAAAAAAAAAAAACTCTATTATTAGGATAATTATAAGGAAGCGTCAGATTTTCATCAAATTATCTCATAAGAATTAAGAGAAAGTGGTCATTAGGCACAATTGTTGTAAATCGAATTAACATTCTATTCTTGATTAGCAATTTTTAGGTGAAGTATCTAGGAGTAGAAGCTATGATTAGCTTGGCTATTGAGTGAGTGTTTGAATTGGAAATAAGGTTAGTATTACCCTTATTATTGTTTTTGTAAATAAAAGCATGAAGCCTCACATTGTTTTAGACTTTCAGTTATCAATTCTCAAATGGAGGGTAGTATACCACAAGGTAAAGCAATATGGGACCCCGAGACTGTGGATCTGTTTTGTGATTTGTGTATTATAGAGGTGGAAGCTGGACGCCGTCCTGGAACTCATTTGGATAAAGTTGGATGGGAAAATTTAATTCGAAAATTTAATGAAGCAACCAAACGAGTATATAAAAGACAACAATTGAAGAATAAATGGGATGCTTTGAAGAATGATTGGAAGCTTTGGAAGGAACTTATTGGTAAAGAAACTGGTCTAGGTTGGAACATTAAGAAGAATACTATTAATGCATCTGAGGAGTGATGGCATAATAAATTGCAGGTATACAGAATTATAGGATTTGTCATTCTTTATTCTAGTATTGGACTAGGCAGGTTTAATTTTTTCAAATGCTATTGCATATTCATCCCAACGCAGCGAGGTTTCGCACTCGGGGAATTGAACCACTGTTAGAAGAAAAGTTAAATAGGATGTTCATGAATACTGTGGCCACAGGAGTGTATTCTTGGACACCATCTTTTGGACAAGTGCCATGTGAGTCTGATAAAGGTGAAAATGATAAATCTAGTCTACCTGAACAACTTGAGAGTAGTGGTGAGTCAGGTGAACCAATCCGAAGTGAATTGGCACAAGCCCGTAAGAATAAGAGGCCAATTGAGAAAGATGAGAGACAAAATAAAGTCAAGAAAGGAAAAGGAAATGTGAAGGTTGGAGGGGCTGCTAAATTGTCTCAACAAATTGATCGCCTTGTCGATATAGTTGAGAGTAGAAGTACTGGATCATCGATTGCGCCATCTGACACTGGAAACTGTAGCATGGCAAAAGTTGTTGAAGTTCTAGATTCATTACCAGGATTACAAACTGGAAGCGAGTTGTATTTCTTTTCGGTTCACTTGTTGTTAGACAAGTGTAAGAGAGACGCATTTATGGCTTTTAAGGAACCTGAGGTGAAGCTCAATTGGCTTAAGTTTGAACATGGGCTAGGATCCTCGACTTAGATTTTCATTCCTCATTTCCTTTTAGTGCGGTTTTCTTGTTGTATTTTAGGTTGAGACATTGTTATTCTCTTTCAGTTTTGTCTTTTTCTTGTATTCATGTTGGAGACATTGTTATTTTTTTTCAGTGTGGTTTTCTTGCTTTATGTTTAAGACATAATAATATGTGGCCCCTTTGAGGTGTGCCGGCCTTTGCATGCCAATCCTATTTTAATTATGGCAAATACCCTCCAATTTCTTGCTTTTGAATGCCTTTGTTTATCTAGTTCACGTTGAATACCCTCCAATCATGCCTTTGTTTAATTAAGATGTCCTTCTTTGTTATTTGTTCACGTTGCATGAGTAGCAAGCAACTTGAATGACAGGTTTATTGTAGTTGCAAAAGATGGCTGACAATGGTGATGAGTTTACAAATTTCACCAATTTGAATGACAAGTTTATTGTTGTTGCTAAAGATGGATGACAATGGTGATGAGTTTGATCAACAATTTATATGTATCATTGCTCGACTCATTGAATATTACTACAACACGTATGTTCATAAGAATCCGTGTATGACCTCTTCACAAACGGGAAACATGTGGGTGACGGAATTATTAAGAGGGCATGAAATTAGAAGTTATAGGATGTTTAGAATGGATAAGAACGTGTTTTTGAAGCTATGTAATGATCTACAGAGTAAGTATGGATTACATGGATCAACGAATATGTGTGCGACTGAAATACTTGGAATGTTTTTATTCATTTTGGGTCAAGGTGAGGGGAATCGTTCAGCACAAGAGCGATTTCAACGCTCTGGTGAGACTGTGAGTAGATATTTTAATTATGTTTTAGAAATTGTATGTCGTATGAGCATCGATATTATACAGCCTCCAAATCTAGAGTTTAATGACATACCAATAGAGATACTGACAGATCGTAGATATATGCCACATTTTAAGGTAAAATCATACTTTTAATATGCTTCATTCCCTACTAAAAGCATACTTTTTATATGCTTCATTCCCTATTAAAAGTATGTTTATTTATACATTAAAAATTCTTCTTTTTAGAATTGTATTGGTGCGATAGATGGCGTACATGTTCAAGCTACAATACCACCAGAAGATCAGGTGCCATTTATCGGAAGAAAGCGTGTGCCAACCCAAAATGTGATGGCTGCTTGTGATTTC